TATTATTTTTTATTATTACTATTGGTATTGTTGTTGTAATTATGTGTTTTATTAGTTATGGTACTCTATATCTAATAATAATAATATTTGTATTATTTTACTATTATTAATCTTATTATATTATTGTTATTTTTACTATTTATTTCTATGAATTATATATTTAATATATTATTATTGTTTTTTAGTTATTGCTATTTTTTACTACTATTATTTTTACTAATATTATTTTAAAAAATTTTTTTAATGAAATTCGTTATTTTTAATTGTTTGCAGTTCTGCCGTGGGTGTGCCGGAGCGCCTCCAGTCCCACACACTTCCTCTAGCTACAGCGCCCTCTAGCGACACAGAAGACTCATCGCGTCCCTTCTCCACAGGAAGCCCCGGCAGCGGCGGCGGCGGCCCATCGGTAGACGCTTGATGCCGTTCTATAGCGCCACACTAGCTCACACAGACAGAGGACTAGAGATGCCAAACACCAATGTCTGTCCCATGTTTTCTGGCAGAGATCTGTATTGATATGAATATATATGTATGTATGTAAGTAAGTTTATATATAACGGAGAGTTTTGAAGCTGAACACATGAGACCGGCTCTGTTTTAGTCAAACATTTCAGCTTTGCTTTCGTTGTCCTCGTATAATTGTTCTTTGGGGAAATCAAAGGCATGTTTGTGAGTGAACTCTATGAACCTGTCTTTCGTCTCGATGTTGGCCGTCTCTCTTTTTATGAAGTGCAGTATCTGCCGCTGACGAGGAGACGTTTCATTTCTCTCTTGATTTAGTTATATCCGTGTCTCAGCAGCTGATGTACCGTAGCACAATTCCAGATCGATCGGAACCGGCAGAAATTTTTAATATGTCAGAAAAGGTTTGCGTGCAGATTATTTGTATATAATTTCATTATAGCTTCAGACCGTCAATCGATGCTTTTACCTGACTAATCCGACTCCATATGCCTTAGTGTGTGTGTGTGTGTGTGTGTGTGAGACTGAGAGGTGTGTACCGACTCAAACATTTCTAGAAAAGTGCCTCATTATTGATCTTGCTGATCGTACCGTCCACGTCCGTTATATCCGAACTACAGCCACAAACCAACCTGGCGTCCTGTAGTGTTTATACAAAGATCATTTCATAATGATTTCTTACCTCGAGTTATTATTTAAACGTGATTTTGCAATCAGACTGAGTCGTCAGAAGAGCATCCTCTTATTGGAGGAGCCCTGACGCCAATCAAATTCACTGTCCAACAGGGAGATGCGGTTCAAATTTGGGGCGTAGATGATACGTAGCTGTAGATCAGGTAGAATTAGTTGCATTTATTTATTTTTTCCTAATTAAATTTATTCTTCTAAAGTGAAAAACTAAATCTCAAGCATTAATAAACAATCTTACAAGGCACAAACTGGCAAATATGTTCTTGCTCAGTATTTTTGTCTCATTTCCCAGTAAACATATCTACAAATTCTTGAATCAAGATACATTTATTTGAGAAGCAAAATTAAGATATTAAGTCGTTTTCTTAAAGAATTATGCTTAAATCAAGAGTCAGTGGGGTATATTATTTTATGCTTAAAATAAGAAAACAAAAATATTCAGTTCTTTTTGTTTCCCCTTTGAATTAAATATTTTTAGCCCACTGACTGATATTTTTCTTGATTTAAGGATGATTTCACTTCATTTTGATCTATTTTACAGAAAAGGTTTGCATTTTGCATCTACAGTATAAAATACAATTTCTTAAGATGTTAGTTAGTTATTAGTCTTGTTTTCTGAAAAAAAAAGTGTTAATTCTTAAAATAATAAGAAAAAAAATCTCTCAGTGGGGTTAAAAATATATATTTTTCCCTTTAAAATAAATTTATTTTTTAGCCCACTGCCAAATATTATTGTTTTAATTCACTTAATTGACATTAATTTTTCAGAAAATGTTTGCATACATTTTGCATCTACAGTAAGTAAAATGACTTGATCAAATTTGTTTATGCTTAAAACAAGAAAATATGTCAGTGGGATAAAAAAATCTTGTTTTCCCTTTGAACAAAATAGATTTTTTTTATATTTTCTGACATGTTTTTTTAAGCATAAATTCACTTAATTTTGATAAATATTTCAAAAAATGTTTGCCGATATTTTGCATCTCCAATCAATTTGATGATTTAAGAATTTTTTTATATTTATACTGGAAAACGAGACCCCCCCCAAAAAAAATGAGCAAGAAAATATTTTTTTGCAAAACGACAAGAGCTTGTACATTTTTTGCTAAACATTTTCATCGGTCTAACTGTTCCCATGATAGACTGTTAAAGACACCGTAGAGCAACATCTGAGTATTTACGATTTATAAAACGCCACACTCCTACAACTTAACCATTCCAGACACTCGCTGAACCCGAATGTACGAATCCACCGGAAAGCTGAATGTGTTGCTTTAACAAACGTACACCTGATTTCCCCAGCGAGGTGAGCGTTTGCTGATTGGAGGAAACAGCCAATCAGGAGAGGCGTTCTGCTTGTGTGTGCGGCCGTCTAATACAGTCTAGTGTGTTATTAGTTGCATTTGCACTGAATGTAATGTCGTTGGGGTTCAGATGTTTCGTGTACATAACGTGTCACACTAAAGGTGTAAGGATGAACATGTACTGTGAATAGAGGGTGGCACCGCGGCCCTGTGTAGAGGAATAAAATGATTGACATCTTTCTGCACCTCTGACTCTTGTGTCATTAATTTCTTTGTGCAATTAATGCTTGTTTGGATTCATATTCTCTTTTATTTAGGAGTTTTAAAACTCTCAAATAAGTGATTTTTCACATGCAACCTCAGTATTTGATTCAGATATTGTTTAAAGGGTAGATTATTGATTGATTTATAATACATTTTGCTTATTTGTAATACTTCATTTCTTGTTAAACATGTAAATGGTCACGGTTACACAGTCTGTTATTGACTACTTTGCCACTAACCAATGAAATGTGCCGTGGGCGGAGCGATACGTGTAGCCCCTCCCTATTCTGCAAGCATACTTGAATTAAACTGCAGATTTGAAAGTTGTCAAGGCAAGAAAAATCCTATTTTTCTTTAATCTTTTGAAAGGTCTTTGTACCATTAAAACGTTCAGCCCCGACAAGCCGCCCAATAAAAACAGATCATTTCAAAATGAGTGTTGAAAATAACTGGCAAATATATGAAAAAAATATATATTTTTTAAGTATAAGCGAACCTCAGATTTTTTTTTTTTTTTTGGCGAACCTCAGATATGTTCAAGTAAAAATGCAAATTAAATGAATACATAAAATACTATGTATAAATAATCTTGGGCTTTAAAAAAAATGTGATGCTATTTTAGTCGATTTATTAATGTGAAATGACAAAACAAGGACTAAATTTAAATAAAGTCTCTCTAAATTTATATGTAATTCTTGTAAAAAAACAAAAAACATTGTACACAGGATACAAATAATACTCTGTTCATGTTCATTTGTCCAGTTTAATTCTTTTAAAACAGTTAATTATCAAAAATACTGTGATAATTTTAAAATATGCTCATCTGATCAGTGGTTTAGCAAGAAATAAGCAAGACAAAGCAAGTTTGAAAGACAGATATGGCTTCATCAGCACTCTCTATGGTCAGAAAGCGAAAGGATTTGCTTTTGTTGACAAAAAGTCATGAATTCATACAGAGGCAACAGAAACGCAACACCATCAGACCCATTTCTTTACACACATAACATCCACATTCACACTCTGACTATTATTAAAGTACAGTAGCACCTCGTTTATAAGGTCCGTCAGTGGAGTTTGTCACAGTGAGTTTGGCGTGATCAATTAAACACATTAATTAAATACATTCATTCAGAGACTGAAGATCCAAACTGCAAAATCCCCATCAAACTCTGATCCGAGATCATGATTTAGTCTAGAAATGTTCCACCTGTGTGCAAAAAACTGTTTTCACGACCCATTTTCTGCAGTTTTCACTATCAAGCAATATAAACTTTGACTTGTTTTGACTTCAGTTTGTACCAGGTTTTGACAAATCTTGAGCAAGTAACGGTTTTGGCTTTTAGTGCAAGACTAAACAGACACAGATTGAGCGAAAAGAGCAGCAATCGAGTCACAAACGCAGCAGCATCTCGCTCATTTACTCTTGTAGCCGCCTTACAAAAACGAGGCACAACTCAAACATCAAGCATTAGTATTTCCCAGCTGCTTCACAGAAGAGAAGTCCTCCAGACATCTGTCACTCCTGCAGGCCGTGTCTTCACGAGAAACCACACAAGACTCCGTTTCCCAGAGTTCTCTGTGCTTCAGGAAGCTTCATTCGGCTGCGGTTCAGGCTCTCGAAGATTGGCTTTTGACCTGTTAGAGTAAAAACACTTTAGAATCTAAACAAAACAATATAATGTAAAATCATACTGCAATACAAATATTAATAAATATCTTAATATTATAAATGCAATAATGTTAATATTACTAGACAATTTGGAAAGAAACAACGGGTCAAATCATGCAATATATATGTAATGTTAACTATATATTAATATATATATATATTTATTCTATAATGTGTCCAAAAGAAAGGTTTGAAACGACATGAGGGTGAGTAAATGACATTTTTTTTTTTTTGGGTGAACTATCCCTTTAATGTTTTTTATTTTTATTTTTTTATGAAATGATACTCTAAATAATAAACTAAATCTGCCAGCAGGAGGCGGTAAATGTCTTCATTCGATTCGTTCAAACGGTTGATTCATTCAGGAATGAAGTACACGGTTCTCTTTATGGATGGACCTTTGAATCATTGATTCAAATGATTCGTTCAAAACATGGATTCATTCAGAAACTAAACACCACTGTGTTGCTCGGAGATGCACAACAGTTCTGCTATGGCTTTAAAGGTAATATGTTTTCTGCAAAATTGAGCAAAAACTCAATATTGTGTTTAAAATATAACATAATATCAACTTATTTACTGAATTGTTGTATAAAATCACATTTAAACTTGTGATATTCGGGACAAAATCAGCACTTATGTAATATTGCTCTTGCTGCTGATATCGTATGATATAATTATGAGACAAAATCTCATACAGGGGCATTTTTGCCACAATATCTTGAATTTTAGGGCATAACTGCATTTATGGAGTTATTTCCCTGCATCATATTTGTCAACAGTCATCTGTATGAAATGTAAGATGATGTACAGGTCTGGGGGCGGGGCCACTGCGTTAACGGCATTAAGATATTTTAATCGCGTTATTTTTACATAACTAATTAAATTAAGTTAACGCGTTAAACTGACAGCCCTAATAAAAATTATATATATATATATAAAAATACTAGAAATTGAATAAAATTTTTAATATTAGGTCATTCCAAAACAACGTAAAATCATGTAATGTAAATATTAATAAATTGTCAATAATAATAACTGTATTAATATAATAAACAATATTTAAAAGTAATTCTTGTGTCTGCGCCAATAGCCTTGAGGGCAGTGCGCTGACATAAAGAGCTGTTGCGCTACAGGCGTCCCAAGTTCGAATCCCGACTCGAGGACTTTTCCCGATCCCACCCCACTATCTCTCTCCTACTTTGTTTCTGAGAAGACTAAATGCGAATTAAAAATAAAACATTTATGATCACAAATATGTAGAATATAAAAAAAGAATTAAAGGTCATTTGTGTTTATAGAAAGGAAAGATTTTTGTATGCTTATGTCACCGCTCAAATTATCGATACAGGAGTGTGCTGTACCTGTTGTGAGTCATGTGACTCTTGACGAGGTGTCCGGCGGCGAGAGCGGCCATCAGAGAGAGCTCTCCGGCCAGAACCGTGGCACAGACGATCCGCGCCAGCGTCCGCGAGTTCTCACCGGGACACTGATCGCTGGAGCCGTGAACTCCCAACATCTGATCAACACACAGAGAAGGGCGTTTAGCTCATCTAGAGCTCGTGTTGTTCAAGTGTGTGTGTGTGTGTTACCTGTAAACAGGCGTGTTGTGCGGGCAGCCCGGTTCCTCCTCCCACAGTTCCCAGCTCTAATGACGGCATCGTGCAGGACAAATACAGATCCTCTCCATCCGTCCCGACACACTCCATCAGAGTAATGCAGTTACTGCTGCCCACCGTCTGCGCCGGATCCTACACAAACATATAAACAATACAGACAAATTATATAGCAATCATATAATAATGGATAGTAAATATGTTATATTTTTAATTAATATAATTTTATAAATGCATACATTATTATAAACTCTAATATTCACAATGCATAACATGATAAATTGCAGACAATATGATCAGGAATGTGTAATAATAAAGCAAATGTCATATTAAGAGCTGTAGGTCTCACGCACCTGTCCGCAGGCGATGTAAATGGCTGTTACGATGTTTGCCGCATGAGCGTTGAAACCCCCGATGCTTCCGGCCATCGCTGAACCCACCAGATTCTTACTGATGTTCAGCTCCACCAGAGCCGCTGTGCTGCTCTTCAACACCTGCAAACACAGTCAACTGATGTTAAAGTTTGGATTTCCATTTGCATTTCATGCACTCAACTGATTTAGAAGGATACATTTGTACACTTTAAAGTGAAACATCCTGAGATTTT